CTTTGCATATAGACGCTTGATACACTAAGAACAACTGAAATAATAATTTGAGTAATAATTAATAAGTATTTGTTACTTTATAGATTTAATTAGATATTTGTTGTTACTTTATTAACGTTTTTACGCTTATACTGTGAGGTAAAAAACGGCTGCTGCTATTATGATTTTGTCTGGTTTATTAGCTCATTGCTGCCCCAATTTAGGATCTTCTTTTTAATAAATTATTGAAAACGTTAAAAAAAAGAGAGAGAGAAAGGGGGTCCGGCGAGGATGTTTGCCCAGGGGTCCGTGCTGGCTCTCGACTTTCCTGTATGTAATGCTGCATGCTGTCTGCTTTAATTTTATATGTCTGTGTGTGTGTTTACAAACACATACAGAATGTCAGAATGATAAATAATGAAAATCATAAATAAAGTATTAATTAAGCTTTTATTTTTCACATTTTCATATGAGATTTAGTGACTTGTTTTTTTCAACATTATTTTTGGGGTTAATATGGTTTCTGTAATATACTTGAGCAAACAATTCAAGTTTTTCAATTAACGTTATTTTTTGTAAGTTTTTACACATTAATTGTATTAAACTATGATAAATGTTTTACTAATTTCCAGGGCTGGCAACATTGCTTGGTTGATATTCTTCCTATATTATTTTTATTTAACTATATTTGTCATGGAAGCACCTACCTTATAATCTGTTTTATTCACTTTTAACAGTTCTTTCAGCGTAATGGACGAGCGTATCCCATCTGTAATGAAGATAACTTCCTTGTGGAGATAACACAAGGGACTAACAAGATAGCTTGCAGCGTAGAACTTGGAGGCCAGGAGCCCAGCGATGCAAACAAAGCTTGTGTACAGTTTAGTGTGCGACACGCAGGAGAATATAAGATATCCGTACTCTTGGGTGTTGTACACATACGTGGAAGTCCATTCATAAAACATTTTCTGCCAGGTATTAGCATAGTTTCAGTTTAGGATCAACTGCATGCTTAATCTCAGCAATATTCTGTAATTTTAAAACTTATATATAAATTTGATTAGCATGAATCAGAATCAGCTGATAATGTTAGGATATATCATCAAGTTTCAATTATGTTTTACCAACCAAAATAGAGAGTACAAGAAAAACCACGTTTGATATTTATGAAATTTCCTCATTACCAGGAGAAATATTTTTAAAGAATATGAAACACTATAATGTAAAATACTAAAATTACTCTCTTAGGATTGATTTTAATTTTTGTTGAACTGTGGGTGAGCCACCTAAATTTTAGAAGATAAGTGTTGGTTATAATTATGTCAGTGTTAAAGATCCAAATTTGGATCACTTTCAAACTTAAGTAAATCAGCCAGAATCTTGGATACCATTCATTAATAGTTGTGCATGTATGTTTGAATTTATGTTTAACTGTTGATAGGTCCACCAGAACCACAGAAAACAGGGTTTGTACACCATTGCTCTACAGTTGTATGTACAGAAGGATTACCCTACCAGCTTTTTATTGAATTGAGAGATCAGTACAACAACTTGTGTGTTGTGGAAGCTGCTGCTGATCCCAGTGATGAGTTTAGTGTAGACATTGTTGAAGTGAGTATTATTAAATATGATTCTAGTGATGAGTTAACTGTAAACATTGTTGAAGTTAGTATTATTGAATATGATTCCAGTGACGAGTTTAGTGTAAACATTGTTGAAGTGAGTATTATTGAATATGATTCCAGTGATGAGTGTAGTGTAGATATTGTTGAAGTGAGTGTTATTAAATACACTCATCACTGGAATCTAGTGTAGATATTGTTGAAGTGAGTATTATTAACTGATTCCAGTGATGAGATTAGTGTAGATATTGTTAAAGTGAATGTTCGGTGTCACTCCAGTATTAATTATAGTATAGACATTGTCAAAGTAACTGTTAAGTGTCACTTGAGTGATAAGTTCAGTATAGAGATTGTCGAAGTGAATGTTCAGTGTCAGTCCAGTGATAAGTATAGTATAAACTTTGTTGAAGTGAGTGTTGGGTGTCATTCCAGTGATAAGTTTAGTATAAACTTTGTTGAAGTGAGTGTTGGGTGTCATTCCAGTGATAAGTTTAGTATAGATATTGTCGAAGTGAGTGTTCAGTGTCAGTCCAGTGATAAGTATAGTATAAACTTTGTTGAAGTGAGTGTTGGGTGTCATTCCAGTGATAAGTTTAGTATAAACTATGTTGAAATGAGTGATAGATATCACTCAGTGATGAATTTAGTGTAGATATTAAATTGAGTGTTGGATGTAACTCCAGTAATGAGTATAGTGTAAGCATTAGCAAAATGAAAGTTGGATATAATCCAGCTGAGAATGTAATGTAAGTATTTTTGAAGTGATAGTGGATGTGATTTTAGTGAAGAGTTTATTGTAAGCATCGTTGAAATGAGTACTGGGAGTAATTCTAACAAGAAATGTAGTGTAAACATTGTGAAAATGAATGTCGGATATATTTCAATATAACATAATACTGTTGAAGTGAGTGTTAAGTGTGATCCAAGTAATGAGTGTAGTTAGACATTATTGAAGTGAATAGTGTATTTGATTCCACTGAATACTGTAGGTATATAGTATTGAAGCAAACAGTGTATATGACCTCACTGTATAGTGTAGTTAGACATTATTGAAATGAACAGTTGATTTTATCTTGGTGATCGGTGTGATGTGAACATTGTTGGAATGGTGGGTATTATTTTGTACATTCTTCCAAAATGTATTTTTTATATGATTTGTAGTTTGAACTTATTATTTTATATTTTTGTACTTATTGGACACATGTCTTGTGAAATTTACTGATTTGATATCAAAGAAAGTGTCATTATCATTTGTATCTTTGAATACATAAAAGAATAAAAATAATAAAGTGATTAAACACACATGAAATATTTATTAATAATTTTTACTGCAAAGTTTAACAAGAAACTGAATAATATATTTAACCTTAAAAAGTTTTATTTCAATATATTTTTTTTCCTGATTTTTCAGACGTTAATAGTTTCAGTATATAATAAAGTACCTTAAATATTATAAAATGTTTAAATACCGATAACATCGTATTAAAGTACGATTTTAATGTCCCGTCAGACTAATACAGGCCGACCTGTACATGCACCTTTCCGATGGGAATGTCATCCCCAATCTTCAAGAATAGGATTGATTTTGAAGCTCGATAAAGAAGGCTGTTACCGAGCCACAGTGTTTTATTGTGGAGCTGCTCTACGAAATGGAGACTTTCACATTATTGTTTTGAATCGTAAGCAGTTGTTTTCTCAAGTATGTGCCTGTTTCAGAGAATTTGTCATGATGTTTTGGTTTATTGTGATGAGCTGTTGTACACTACAAGAAGAGTTTTTGTTACTAGACGTTTCAAATGGTTTCCATTTAGTTATTTACTAGAACTTCAATATAATGCCCTTTGGCAGTGTTCTAAATTATTGAACTTGTTATTATAGGTTAATAATAACATAAACCACACAGAGATATTTTAATGTTTCATGCATGCTACGGTAGAAGAGTTCCGTATTGGGTACAGAAATCCATATACTAACGGTTGTAGCCAAAACGGAAGCAACGTGGAAAAGTCTTGGGGGGGAACTAATTTTTAGGCTTGGTTTATCTGATGCTTCTTATTTTGTTTCATACTTGTGTCATCTTTTTCTAATACACAAGCCTGCTACTGGTAATGGTCATGGATGTGTATTCTGTAAGCCTGCTACTGGTAATGGTCATGGATGTGTATTCTGTAAGCCTGCTACTGGTAATGGTCATGGATGTGTATTCTGTAAGCCTGATACTGGTAATGGTCATGGATGTGTATTCTGTAAGCCTGCTACTGGTAATGGTCATGGATGTGTATTCTGTAAGCCTGCTACTGGTAATGGTCATGGATGTGTATTCTGTAAGCCTGCTACTGGTAATGGTCATGGATGTGTATTCTGTAAGCCTGCTACTGGTAATGGTCATGGATGTGTATTCTGTAAGCCTGCTACTGGTAATGGTCATGCATGTGTATTCTGTAAGCCTGCTACTGGTAATGGTCACATGTGTATTCTGTAAGCCTGCTACTGGTAATGATTGCACGTGTTCTACAAATCTGCTACTGGTGATGATCACATGTGTATTTCACAAGCTTGCTACTGGTGATAAACAGGTATCTGTCAGTGTGAAAGGTTTGTTTGTGAATACTGAGAAATTTTCAGTATTGACAAAATTTTTTCTCTCACCCATGTTTATGAAAATCATATAACAAGTAATGTTTACAAAATATTTTTTTCTAGTTTTTATTCATGATAATTGGTAACATTATTTGTACTTTCTTTCCGTCAACACCTAAACCTCTTCTTAAAAATTAGTTATTAGTAAGCTTTAATAACTTTTTATATTTATTTATGCATGTATACTTTACCAATAAGTTAAATTTAGCTTTTACAACAATCAGTTCCCATCTTGTATTGTAAATTTTTAGGTGGGGATGCTTGTTTAGTCCAGAAAAATGTTGCCAAAAAGAGCCACAACATTTGGTATGAAGCCAGACTCATTTCTGTAGATGGTCAGCGGCTACCAAAGTCCAAGAAAGTATACTGTTATATTTCCCCCAAGGTAAATCTGATTGTAGTAATAAATCTCCCAATACTTGTTTTTTATGAACATTTTATTTGATAAAGTAATTGCAGCAGAAGGTTCAGAAAAATGGATTTTTAAACTGAAAAAAAAGAGGTTTAGTGATACCTTAGAAACATAAAAAAGTGTTGTAGTACACAAAATTCTAATAACACGTTATAAAATTTATTAAAATATTTCTAGGCCAAGCATGGCCTAGTAGGTACATGTCAGACTGTGTATTAGAGAACCCATCATTTACATCCTGTTGCTGCAAAACTGTACTTCATACTTTGAGATGATGGGTCCATTGCAGGAATGATGGTCAAATCTCTCTATTTGGTGAAAATAGCCCTAGAGTTGATGGTGGATGTTTTTGACTATCTGCCATCCCTCTGTCATATCAGTTCATAATTAGGGATGGCCAGAACAGGTAGCCCTTATGTGGTTTTGTGAAAATATCTCAAATACACGTTAGAAACATTATGTGGTCTTTATCAAGTGCAACAAAATTACTAAAAGATTAATTCTGATTTTCAGCAACTGACCATCAGAGAGTTCATGCTGAAGTTTATTCCAAAACGTTTCACAACATTCCGTCTCTGTCCATCTACCAAGGTAAGAGAAAAGTTATTGGATTTGTTTATATGTAAAATCTAATACTTAACTTTAGTTTCTAGTAATACAGAACATGATACAGTACTTGGAATTTTTATGAAGTGTTAATTTGTCCAGATTCTGGTGAAATATTTTATTATGGTAATGCTCAGGTATACAACAAAAAATTTACTAAAACCTACCATATAGATTTGGGTAAGAAATTTGGAAGTTGCTTATTTTTGTTAATATTGTGTAATGCAGTAAACATTGGTTAATCATTATTGAAAAAGGATACAAGTGAGGTTTTTAAAGAGCATTGCTTCAACCAGCTCAGTGTGATTGTAATATCAGTTAAAACTGTTTTATTTGAATTGGAAAGCGATGTGAAACAGATTTACAGAGTAAGGTAATTGTAAAAATGCTTAATATTGACTTCCAATCAGAGCAAGCTACCTATATCTATCTAAGCTGCAGTCATCCCTTGTTGGATGTAGCTCTCCATCAGACCAGTCCAGTATTTCCTATTCTCAGCAAACTGTGTCCATCTGATTCCTGCTTCTGCCACTATATCATCCCTCCATCTTCTCTTTTTGCCTTTGTTTAGATCTTTTTCCCTATTCCATTGTTCTTAATGTCCACATGTTATCAGAATACCTTGCTACATGCCTAACCAATTTCCATTTAGTTCTTAGAAGAAACCTTACTGTATCTATTATATTTGTTTTTTGTCTTATTCTGTCATTTCTCTATCTGTCTTGTAGTGTTATATGAAGTATTTTTATTCCATAGCTTTTTTTTGTGGCTTCTATCTTTTTTCTTATGTTAATCCCCATGTTGGCAGCCATATGTTAAGATTGGTGGTATACACCGATTCATGATATTTTTCTTCAAAGTAATGGGGATATCCTGATCCTCTAGAATTTCTTCATATATTCCAAAACATAGAGCAAAACTAAACATCATCCTGGTAATGAGTATAGCTGATTAAGATTTATTTTCCTATATTCCTACTTATAAAGATTAGAATGCATTGTTCAGTTTGCTGGGTACCATTGCTGTTAATGATAATTTCGGCCATAAACCCAATAACATATCAAGAGATTTAGGTTAGTCCTAAATACATATATTAGTGTACTTTCTGAACTCACACAGTTTTCTATACACAGTTTAATAGTTGTACTATAAACTTCATTAGGCCAAAGTAGGAAGTTATTGGCCAATAAAAGGACTTAGCAAATGGCATGAGTTACAGAAACTTGTTTAAAAATCCCAGATTTTCTTCTTCATTGTTACCTTTTAGTTATGTTTAGAATCAAAGGTCTGCTACTGTGTTTGTTATCATTATCTGTGTCTGCATGTGCACATTTCTGAAAAACAAGTGCGTGTATAATTTTGAAAGTGTATCTAATGTCCATGTAATAATGAATATCTATTTAGATGCTATTATTCTTATTACTTAGAACCCTTTTCATTAGTTTCAGTTCCAGAGTGCAAACAACAAACAAGAGAGTCATGTTTTAGTGATTGATGATGGTTGCCAACCACAGGTGGAGCTAGTGTCTGCTGAGAGAAACGTGATAGCAGCCACTTTTACTCAGTTTCTTTTGAAAAACATTGGTGGGCAGAAGTATTCTTAATATGTATGAGATATGCATACACACACACTACAGTACACATCTTCATAAATTAATACACACTTCAGCATGCCAAATGTTTTATCTTTATACATATATAATCTGAAGTTTGTTATTTTTATGATAATGTTGTAGTGTGTTCTTTCATTGAGCAGGTATTTTCAAATTATTTAGTGAAAATAATGCAAAGTCAAGTCCATGTAACAATAACAACTTAGTTAATTTCTTCCGCATCATTTGTTACAGAATACTCTCACTTATACACATTTGTAGACTCTAGTTCAAAAATAACTTTTTTTCACTTTCAACATTTTGTTTGTTTTAGAGCAAAGCCACACTAGGCTGTCTCCTATGTCCACTGTGGGGAATTGAGCCCTAGATTTTAATATTGTAAGTCTGTAGGCTTACCAATGTCCCACCGGGGGTCATTTTCAACAGAAATTTACTCACTAATGATACTATGACTAATGCACAAATAAATGTACTTGTACAATTTCACAGCTAATTGATTGAGTAACTGAATATATGCGATAACTAACGCTGCTCTGAATACTTCACTAACTTCTCAATCATTGAATGAACTGATAACTGACTCAAAGCTGCACTGATTCTAGAATTATTAGCATATCCTTGTTCTAGATGTTTCACAAAGTCTCTTGATCATTAACATTCTAGGACTACTTTTATAAGCTTTCGAAACTTAGTGTCATCATCATGTTAGCAGCTCCCTCTAGCAAAAATTGTATTTAAAACATTGAAAGTATAGTTTACAACAATAAGTTAATAAAATCAGGAACCATACTGAATATTTTTTACATTTCAGACTTTTGGAAATATTACTAATAAATATGCTTTTTTTATTCAACCTTGGAAAACTTCAAAGGATCTATTTACCACATTCATTATTGTGTCTTTATATATATAGTAGTCATACTTTGAACACTTAACTATCATTTAAACAATAATTTCTTTTGGTACAGAAATTCTTATTTAAAGTAATTCATTTCAGGTCTTGCTGAATAACAGGTCTCTAGGAAGTTGTGATGTTTAATGTTTATTGGCTAAAAATCTGAAACTCCTTTTTAATTTAACTTAAAAAAGTAGTATATGTAATATTATTTATTTAGACTCAATTATTTTAACCCTTTATACAGTTTTGTTTCATTTACATATGCAAGTTTAGAATATGTTACTAAAACGATATATTACCATAGAAACCTGTTTTTCATCTAGGAGGGTCAGAGACTTTTAAAGATAAACAAGATTTTTTCTACCACGAAGTTCGCAAACTGCATCAGAAGCACTTTCATGAAAAGTTGCCTTTAAGGATTCACAGAGAAAAATTACTTGAAGGGGTGATTATGGATAAGTTCTATAGTTAATGTTGTACACTTAAACATAATCAATATCATAAATAAATAGATACTCCAGTTAAAAACAACAACAACGTTTTGTTTATGCAATAAACATTTTTTATTTAGGACTGATCTTTGTTTACCATTGTATTTGACATTTC